ACGCACCCGGCGAGAGCGGCGAAGGGACGACGCTTGCATCATTCCCAAGTTGTCTCTTGTTTTGTTTCGTTTAATTGTTGCGCGACATGGTCGGGAGAGTTATCGCACTTTGCAAAAAAAAATTAAAGTCGATTCGCTCGACAATGTATAGTTATTTATATTTAAAAATATATATTATTATTAATTAAAAAATATATATATTTTTGTACTTATTAATTTTTGCTTTTTTTTTTTATACACATCAATTTATAAATGATATAGTTTACATATATTTATGCGGATAATCGCTGAATAATAAATCAATGGTAAACAGTTAAATAAAACAATAACAACAAATGCCCTAACAAAGTAATATTAGGTATGACTGAGTACAAAAAGAGGTATGATTGAAAATAAAATTACAAATCAATAATGACGGAATAAAAATGAGTGTTTTATTATAATAATAACAACAACATTAATAATAACAATGACATCAAAATAACCATTATTTAAGGGGACTATCACATGTTGGTCTTGGTCATTAAAGATTTAGTACATCACAAAAGGTAAGTGTGGGATTAAAATTTTGATATATTTTTTGAATATATGAATTTTCAATATGTTATTAGATAAACTAAGAAAATTATAACATTTTAAACAATGATTTTGATTTATAGCCTATATTTGTTATTTTCATGAAATTAATTTTGGACTTTTTAAATTTTAAGATAATTTTAAATATTTTGGGAAGTAAAATATATAAGAAACGTTGCTGAAGTATAATTGAGTAAAAACAATGTACAAATTAAAAAATAACCTGAATTTTAAAAAGGTTCTGCTTTAATTATTGTCGAAAATAAATATAGTATGCTTGTGATGTTGCTTCAACCCATGTCCTTTGATAAAATTTAACCTCCTCCTATGTGTCCCTAATTTCCAAATGATGCAATTCATGTAAAGTATCAGGACTAATCGTAGTTTAAAAGGATGATTATTGAATAATAAATCAGTAGTAGATAATCAAACAAAACAATAACGATAATTGCCCCAAGCTTGCAACAGTAAGCATAATTGACTACAAAAAGAGGTACGATTGAAAATAACTTAAAAAAATAATAATTAAATGAAAACAAAAGGTTTTTGCAACAAGAACAATGACATCAATAACAACAATGAGATCAATATAACAATTACCTAAGGGAATTATCACAAAGCGACCTTGGTCATTAGACACAGGGTGCAATAGCTTGGAAAAAACGTTAAGATATATAGATGGACTGATGTATACAACAAGGCTTCATCAAATATGCGTTAACCACAGTCAAAGAGGATCTCATGCTTAGTGTTGGTTTCTACAATTACTGCATGTGAGACCATCCCCTCAAGAAATGGTAAAGCGGTGATTGTTTTGAGTAAACGACATTGAGTAGGGGATACCCATGGGATAATTTGCAACAGGGGGGCGAATGGGGTTGTGTAATGGGAAAGGCCCGTCTATAAAAAATAAGAAAGAAAAAAGTGGGAAAAAACAATTGGAGTGTGGGATGTCAATTGTTGTGTTCCACCTTTTGGCTCAGTCTTGCAAGTCTTTTGGGAGAAGAGTGGATTTGTGAGGTTTGAATAAGGGATACTACTTTCCACATTCACCTCTTGTTGTGTCAAAATATCGCAACTACCAACAAACCTAGCTCAATTGGTACACCCACGAGCTCTTAAAATACAGATATGAGTTTAAATCCATACGACACTAAATAAATAAAATGAAATAGTTTTGAATTACTTGGCGGCAGTCAATTTGGCAATGACATATCAAGGCCGTCGCCTTCGTACAAGAAAAAAAAGAAAACAAAACTTCCATTGCTATCAATCATTAAACCACCAGTACTTCGCCCAACCACCCAACCAGGTTTCTCTGGTGCAAATGCTCTGCAAGTTTCGCGGGTCGGCGTACTGGGGCAAAATGGCTGGTGGAGCCAGCCAAAAGGAGGCGTGAGCGGTACCACGATATGGACAACACATACATATCTATGAAGGACAGGCATAAAATCAAGCTTCAATTGATATTGCTATGCCGAAACTAAAGGGCAGGGATAAAATCAAGCTTCAATTGATCTTGCTATGTCGAAACTCCTGATGCAGTTGGTCAATGAACCTCGCTCAGTTGAAAAGGCATACAAGCAGGTCGCAGCCCTGAGCTGCTGGGTCTTAGAAGACCTGCAGCCTTGTCCTGTAAGATAAGCTGGATGATGCTTCCAGATACTACCGGGAGTAATGTGGGGGATCCCCGTCCTCTAATGCTGTTTATGAAATGACAGTTGAACTTTGAGTTGAAAAAAAAGAACAAAGGAAAAAAAAAAGGCATACAAGTTGTATGAGAACATCCATGGCCATGCTCGGTGGCCCACCATCTAGCCCACCGCTCTCCTGAACCAGCATTGGCAGGACTCTAGCCAACAATGGGATGCATCCTCCAGCGTTGTTGACTGTGAGACACCTCTAATGTGGCCCCTCGGAGAGGAAAGGGGAGAGGCAGCGTCTGCCCACCGTGTTTGGCACCAGCACCACGTACGGGTGTTCCCTCCCTGGGAACATTCATCCAGTCCCACATCTCTGTGATGCCAGGCTGGTACAGCTTTGCTCTTCCACCAGCAGTCTGTGGTGCCAATCTGCCCCATGCCTGGGGGAGACGCTGTGTTGATGGAGAGGGAAGAGATGAAGAGCTGTGAAGGAGACGTGATGATGTTTTGTTTTTCTTCCAATTTATTTTGACGGATGTAGTGTACGCAGAAGGGTATGAGATTGGTCACACTGAGGTAGGATAGTGGGATAGGGGGTGCGCTAGGAGCATTGACGTGAGGATGGGATGGGAGGTGGTCTCATATTCCATGACAGCCACGGCCTACTGCTCCAGGTGAGCACTGTGTACCCAGTGACTGGCCTCTGCAACAATAAAAAAAGAAAAAAAGAAGGGTATGAGATTACCCAGCTCACGTGGCCGAATGCTACGCACACGGAACTGTCCATAAACCCATCATGCGTTCGAGTCCGAGGCCACAAACCCAAAAAGAAGGATACGGGAGAAAGGAAAAGAAGAGACTGTGCGTGGCGCACTGATCGCAACTACTCATCCATCTGGCTCCTGGGGCGACGTCCCCCACACCTGGATGCTTCATTCATGGCCGTAGATTTAATTAAGGTGATAGGCGTTCAGCAACAGAGGATTCAGGTAACCGGGACCATGTGCGGGCCTAATGTCCCATGTGTTTGTGTTCTTGAACTCGAGTCGATGAAATGGTTGCAGAGGGGCAAGGTCTGTCTATCTATAAGGGGGAAACTAAAACTATGGGCCTCGCTGCACTACTCTCCAAATGTGCAAAACGAGACTGAATCTCCTCCTAGAACATGGAAAGATGCGCCGCCTTGTGCATGTCGAGTGGAAAGCAGTGCAGCGAGGCCCTATGTCTCTCCCGGTCTTACAGGCGCAGTGAGCGCAGGCGCCTCATGACAGCCCGTGCTGGGGTACTTGCGATGGCGAAATATATATATATATATATATTTTAAATTTAATTTATAAAAACGATGACGAAATATCACTGTCGCAAAAGTGTCCTTTTTTTTTGAACTGCGTCAACGTCAAAAGGCCGGCAAAAAGAGTGGTGTGCCGGGTCCCTCCCTATTGGGAAAAAGGGGTCTTTCTATTTTATCGGGGCCTTTCTCGGCATTTTCCGGGGTCTACTGTGAGCACATTATTCCAAAACAGGAAGCAAACGGGTTTCCCGCAAAAAACAACTCGTTTCCCGCTTCAAACGACTTGTTTTCCCGCTTCCCGCTCTCTGCGTCGTCTGTCCTTCCAAGTACAATCGCGAATCACGAAAGCGTCCAGCGCCAGCGAAGGCGTTTGTCGTTGAGACCGACGCTGGATCCTGCTGCTCCCTGCTCCCCGCTCAGTCCCGAGGGAGGGCGGTACTGATTCTGATTCTCTCGGCCGATTTGCCGAGTGTTGGCGCGTTGTTCTGTGCTCTGCTCTGTCGCGCATTGCCCGGCCACCTGCCCGAAAACTCGTTCTTCTGTGCTCTGCCCGCAACCATACGCCAGCTACTTGTCGTCGTAGTAAGCCGCCATAGCTGGAGCTTCTAGAGGAGATTGAGAAATCTGTAAAAATGCGTTGTTGCTTCCCTTTTTGTTTCGGTGTTTAGCTCGCAAGCTACTCGATAGTGGAGGATCTAACGGTTCCATACGCATCGGTGCGCGCGTGCGGGCCGCTTCGCAGTGCGATTCACGTACGTGAGCGGGGTACGTGCCGTGACGGACGAAGGAGAAGGGAAGGAGAAGGAAAGAAGCCCCCTCCGTTGGCGTCTTCTCTCTCTCGTAGCAGGGATAACGACCGGTGATGGGAGTTCAGTGCGCGTCTCTGTTCTTCTTACCTCTCTGCATTCCCGGTTCTTTCTTCTCTCTGTGGTTTTGAAGAGTGTCGCTGCTGGTTGTCTGTCTGTCTGTCTGTCTGTCTGTCTTCCCCTCTCCTTCTCTTTCTTCCCTCTCTTTCTCTCCTTCCCTCTCTCTCTCTCTCTCCCTGACTCCGCTTCTTCGTCTCCTCTCTCCTCTGTCCTGCGTGCCACAATACCACTTCGTGGCCACTTTGGTTGTCTTTCTCTTTCCCTTCCCCTCCTCTCCCTTCCCTTTTCCTTTTCCTCCCTCCCTCCCTCCCTCCTCTGCTTTCCCTTTTCCTCTTCCCCCAGGCCGTGCTTCTCAGCTTTTCCCTCGCTTTCTCAGTACTTCTCTAATCCCGTTTCCCATCGCTGTCAGTCGCATAATACGACCTGTCTGCGCTTCGTCCTGGCCTGTTATTACCAGTTTTTCAACTACCATTCTCTCGACTATGATCGCTCTTCTTCGCCCTAGCGGCATACTTATTCCGTGAGTCCGTGCGGCTAAGTACAAGCCTTTTTTGCTTGCTCATCATGTCGTTCCGACCCGCGGCTTTTGCGGACGGAGACTCGTCGAAACTGGCGATGGCGAAGGCGGAAGCCGCGGAAGTGACGCGCACCTCGTGTCAATCAGCGTGACGTCCATTTGCCACGTCATCAGTAGCGGCGTTATCATCACGTGATCGTCAGTCGATAAGGAACGGATCGTCAGTTGATAAGGAACGGATCGACGGAAGAAGTGTCGAGGAATAAGGGGCAGATTTCCGTTGGCTGCTGCTGTTGCTGTTGGCCAGGAAAATGACGATGACGACAACAGCTACGCTCTCTCCGCAGACTCCAATTCTGCCGCCGGGTCGGAAATGGGACTCCGCTCGGCAGTCGTTTGAGAAATCAATGGAGCCGAAAACTTGCGTGATCGTCGACGCTTTGGTCGCGAAGGTAAAGGCTCTGACGCTTCTCGAAGGGCAACAACAGTCCGATGGCCTGGGTGGTGTGTATAGGTCATCGACTGGAAACGTGTATGGAACCACGAATGGACACGTGTATGGAGGGACGCCTACCGGACATTGGATGGGCACGTGTGCATCGGGAACACCGACATATCGAGGAAGTGGAGGGATGGCGGGAGGAGGAGGAGGAGGAGGAGGGGGAACGACTGCTGCTTTCACATGTATCACACCCATGAGAAAGAAGGATGACGGGTGTGGTGGTGGTGGCGGCGGGGGTGGCCTTGCGGAAGCGTGCCACATGGATCTTCGATCGGGAATCAGGGCTCCGTTGGTGGGTAATTTCATGCAGATGCATGTGCCGCCGGTGAAGGTCGTCGAGATTTCGCAGGATAGTAGTAACAGCGGAGTAACGGGAGGAGAAACTTCCAGGACGGCGTCTCCGTCGTCGTTCCCTCTGATGACTGGTGAGTTGGTGATTGCCTCTGGCGATTTGGTGTTTGATTCTGTATTAGTTTGTCAACTGTTGAGCTAATCGTTTTTTGATAAGCGGCTTCTGTGTGTTGCATTGTGTTGTGTTGTGTACGGTTAAATCACAAAGTGACGTTCCTCAACTGTAAAGAAGAATTGGTGTCCGACTTTGTTTACTGAGAGAGAGAAAGAGAGAGAGAGAGAGAGAGAGAGAGAGAGAGAGAGAGAGAGAGTGAACGATTGGGTTGGCGGCTGAGTTTAGAGTTGGTGCTTTCTGCTTCCTTTGCCCCTTGCCCTCTCTTTGTTTGCGCGAGGGAAAGAGTGTAGTGCCTTTTTTTGACATTTGCTCATGCGCGCAGTAAGTGTCGACATTGATCGACCAAGGGAGCAGTTTTTGAGATTCTGTACGGCTCCCTGCCCCAAAACTTCGGCCTTTTTTTTTTTACCCTTTGCCTCAAGTTTAAGACTTAATTGTTAACAAAACAGAAAGAAAGCCAAATGTTAAGTAGTGCCGTAGGCTGGTGCTGACGAGGACGTACAGATGGTTGGTTATTACGCGCATGATGAGTAGTGCGAGTCGTCACGATCTGTCTTTTGGGTTACGTCATGATAAAGAGCTTTGGAGTGAAATGTGTCTGCGTCCTTGAATCAAGAAGGTCAGTAGTCATCTAAATTTGAAGCTTTCTGAACATCCGTCGGGTGATCTGGATCGAGCGGTTGCAGTTTGTTGTGTTTGTGAAGAAGGTCGTTGCGGCGAAATCGGGTACATGTGTAAGATGTTTACTGTCGTTTTACATGGTCCGAAATCTTTCAGACTTTCTATTTGGGTTTTGGTCCACCCATTGTCCCACCTTACGGTTTCAGTTCTGGTCCTGACCTTTGGTCCCCTTCCGCTTCAAAAAAATCCCATTCGTTTCCTATTCTTCTCATCCTTCCCTTGTCATCATCCTCCTTATCTTTTGCCTTACTCTTCTGACGCCCTTCTACTCTCTCCTCTTACGTGTTGCCGTCGTCATCATTCTGTATCCTCCTTTCCTTTGTCCTCCTCCCTCTACCCGTGCTCGTCGTTCTCCTCCTCTTTTCTCCTTGACCTCCTCTTCTTCGTTTTCCTCGTTCTTCTCTTCCGACGTATGCAGGACTTTACGTTTTCTCCTCTCCGTTCCACCCCCCCCCCCTCTGCGTGCGCTCGTCTCCTGCTGCTCAAATCTCTTTCTTCTCCCTTTCGTCGTTCTTTTATCCCTTTCCACTTTTGCGTTCCTTGCCTTGCCTTGTTTTATCGTCTTCGTCTTCTTCCACTTTTCTCCTTGGACCGTCGCGCTGATCCGAGTAAGACTATCAGATGCCAATTTGCGGGAGATAGGTTCCTGCTTCTCCGCTTGACATACTCTGCTAGTTTTATGGTCTAGATTTTGTCGATCTGATCCGATCTGGTAGTGAGGTTGTGACCAGATCCCGTCCGATGGATTGGGATCTGATGGATCAGATTGTCGGCTGTACGCATCTCCGACGAGGTGTATGCGGTTGAACAGGAAGACATTTCCCACTTTGTTGTTCCCCCCCTCCGTCTCTCTCTGTCCTCCTCTCCTGCCGCTAACTACCTATGCCGGCTTGTCATCCCGCGGTCGCTTTTCTTCTTTTCCCTCCTCTTTCCTACGCATATCATCTTTTCTCCCTCGTAGTCCGTATCGGTGTCAGATTCTGCGGTCTCAGCACGACTTCTGATCATTCCCCTCGCCATTCCCCCTCCTCCCGCCGCCCCCGCCCTTCCCCCTCCTTCCCCCGCCGTCCCCTCCGCCCCCGTCGCCGCCGCGTTGAATAGCGACCGTCATTCTTGACAATGTTGTTTCCCCTACTCTCTCGCCCCAATTCCCCCGTTGGCTTGTGATTGTCGTCGTGATAAGTTTTTTTTGACTTACGTGAATGACTTGTGTCTTTTCTGTTGTCGACTCCGTGCTCCGCAACTTCAGAACGGAAAAGAGAAAAAAAGAAAATAATGGATAAAGAAATATGTGAAATATGCACCAAATACATGACGTATATAGGAAATATGGAATGTGTCTTTTGTGTGCATTCAAGTATTTTTGTTTTCATTTATAATGTGATGTATTCACATGCATTTATGTGAAGTATTCACATGCATTTATGTGAAGTACACTGCTATTCTTCGCATTGTGTTTTTGAGGTTTGCAAGTGTGATTTTATGAGGAGAATTTGATGGCAGCGTATTTACTCGCCACTGCTTGGGACCCTTGCAGTCAAAATTACTAGTAAATTCCCAGCGGTTGTACCACACATGTTATGAGTAATTTCTATCTTCTGTGAGAAAGGAAGGATACTTGCCTCCGCGTCGTCGTTGTGAAGACTTGGGAGATGATAATTCAATAGTTAAGCAATCATTTGCCACTCCATTCCGCCATTTTCTGCGACACGAGTAGCGTACTTCCCAGAATACGACGCCTGTCATTATAGCTGGACTTGGTGCAATTTTGAGGCCAAATTCCAGATATATGGCTGGAGTTGTGCAATTTTCAGGCCAGGTATTAAATATTTAGCTGGACTTAATACAACTGTCAGGCGGGCGTTGCAGAGTGCCTCCTCTGCTGGGCCACAATTACTCGTCTTCGCATGTCGTCAGATTTATATAGCTGTAGCTGGACTAAGTGCTACTCTCAGGCCAGATGACATTAGATATGATGACCGGGCGTTGTGATTGGGGGAAGAATGCCGCCACTGCCTTCGCCGCTTTTTCAATTACTCGTAATCTCATTTCGATTGATTTACTTTGCTTGGATTCAAGGCCTCGCTCGTCGCATCACTCACCGAATGTGACAAGGACCAAAAACTATGGCGGCTGTATGTTTCCACGGTTTGTTTGATACGTGTTGCTCGTTTTGCTCATTTCGTGAGTATTGCGCCGACGCCCATTTTTTCAATGAGCCGTCTCTATCGAATGCTCACAATCCCTCCGCCACGACGATTCGTCAGGTCTCTTTCTTTTTTTTAATTTTATTCGCCAGGTCTTTTTTTTTTTTTTTTTATTCGCCAGGTCTCTTTTCTTTTTTATTTATTCGCCAGGTCTCGTAATTACGCAGAACAACCCCTTTTACAACCTCCTGGTGATCAGATGGACCCCCTCGTAACCTTCCCGGTTACCACGAGGTTTGCATTTTTCAGCTTGTCCTCTGTTGGGTTGTCAATCCGACAGCCATGGGTTACTTTGTCTGTCTAAAAGTTTTGTCACGGTTGTTGAGGAGGTAGTGGTTGTTTAACGCTCGATTTTTTTTTTCTGTTATGCAGTTCTTCTCGTCGCTCACTCTGTAGCTGGCCGCATTTCCTTCCCGTTTTTAGTCTTCAATTAGCGTTTTTTTTGGGTTCAATGATTATTTTACCCGCCCTTTTTTCTCCTTTTTTTCGTTGCACAGCTGGTGATTGAAGTTTTTTCTTGATGGACAAGCCGTTGCAAGCACACACACACACACACACACAGAGAGAGAGAGAGCATACTGATTTTGATTATTGAGAGGAGGGGTGTGTGTGAGAGAGAGAGAGAGAGAGAGCATACTGATTTTTGATGATGGAGAGGAGGTGTGTGTGTGTGTGTGTGAGAGAGAGAGAGAGAGAGAGAGAGAGCATACTGATTTTGATGATTGAGAGGAGGTGTGAGAGGTGTGTGTGTGTGAGAGAGAGAGAGAAAGCATACTGATTTCTCATGATTGTGAGAGAGAGAGAGAGAGAGAGAGAGAGAGAGAGAGAGGGAGAGAGAGTCCTGTTCCGGGTGTTTTTGTGTTGGGGGTGAATTAGATGATTCTTTGCTCGCGTTTTTTCTGCTGTTGGGGGCCATAGGTGGTAATGTTACAGTTACTAGATTCGTCTCATACATAATCGTCAGAAAGGTAACTGGAAATGAAAAACCGGTAGTGTCTCTTTTCCGGGCTTCCCAAAGATGAGCACGGCTGCCGATGACTCTACATAGATGAAATTATATTAAATAGATCTTCTTTGTTTCTCTTATCCTGGAGCAAGTTCTCGTGTGCGTGGGACCTAGTGTCAAAAGGAGCATCATTATCAAGGTTTACGCCTTCTGCTCGTCCTCATCATCATCATCTTCAGCGTTGAGTATCCTTATTGGTTCTCATCATCACCCGGCAATGGGACAATATGGATTGAACGCTATCCATTTTCTTGCCCCTCGGTGAAAAGGGTTTTGAATCTCGCTCTTCTCCTTTTCGGTTATAACTCGTCTCTTTTACGTTCAATCAGAGGAGTCTCTCACAAGGTGTGGACAATGTCATGATGTACCCAAGGGTAAATGTTGAGGCCGAGTTTTGACACTCTGTTATGGATACGCTGTTATCGAGGCAAAGTTTTAGACAAGTTATTAACTCAGTAATAGTGAATAAGACATTGATTTTGTTAATTAATGTACGAGATATGGACTTAATGCATAAATTGGCTCATTCATCTAGAACGTATCTGATGAGGGAAGGATGTTGGCGCGCTTTAGGAGAGGAGGGAGGGTAAGGGGGGTGACTGCTCTTTTTTATTTTATTTTATTGTCCTCCCTGCCCTTCGTAATCCGTCCACGATTGAATTGCATTGCCGTGTTCGTCGTCTTCATTAGAGAAATATATATTTTTTTATTTTTGTCGCCCGATGTTTTGGCTCAACCGTTGCTCTTTATGCTGTTGATACCCTGTGTTATATTCGGGGAAAGACATTCTAGGCGGCCAGTGTTATTGGCATGTCCTTCCTATACTTTTATGGAAAAGCCTGAGAAAGTCCGTGGCCATCCTTCCTTTCCCCCCCCC